TTTTTTTATTTTATACTTTTAAGGCCCCCAAGGTGAACCTGGTAAAGTAAATGCAATTCCTGGACCTCCTGGACTTCAGGGGCCAGATGGTAGGTCTGGAATACAAGGAGGAAGAGGTGAGAGCAATTTTTCAAGATGAACTACTGCAGAACGAAGTAAAAGGCCATGATCAAGTCAACCAAGCAGACAGCACTACCCAAACAAATAATGAGAACCAGTGCAATGTGGTGATTATAGCAGGGGTACCCAACCTTTTTTTAAGACTGAGGGCCCCTTTGGAATCCTGACAGTGTGGTGGGTGCAGCCACAACATGGCTCCTGCAGAAGGTGGAGCCAGCCACAAAATGGCTGCCACAGCTTCTCTTCAGTCACACAGTGAAAATCTTTGTGCTGCCAAATCAGTGTTTTTAAAAATCTGCAGTCTATCAACTCTCCAGTGGCCGATCAGAAGCCTTGTTAAGCTAAAGCACTACCTGCACCCCCCACTTTCTAAAAACACTTCCTGGGCATCAGGAAAGGTTTTTGTGGGCACCATGTTGAGGACTCCGTGGTTAGAGTGTCATACTAGGCTCAAAGTCATACTGTGGTATGGAATCACAATGGGTGACCATGAGCCAGTCATTGAGTGGTTGTGAGGATAAAATGGAGGTGGGAGAAAGTTGTAACCCTTTTTGGGTCCCCACTGAGAAGAAAAGCATGGCATAAATACCTAAATAAAAAAACCTCATGAACTGAATACACTGAGAACCAAACTACATGTTATGTTGATAATCAGATTGACCAACATGTTTTTTTCTTTAAAAATCTACCACTGTGGAAGAGAGAAAATTTGACTGGGACTACACAGCAGTGGGGAGGGTTGACACATTTCCCTTGTGTATTTTCCCATTAGAAAACAGGCCTCCAGACTGCCATGAGTTCTGTTACATGACAGGGAGATAAAGTTAAAATTCCCTTGTTTATTGTCACAGTACTGGACTCCTCCACAGCTACTTTATAGGATCAAAAATGCATTATATCTGCTTATGGATCTCCAATGTAACAATCAAATTTGCCCTCTAGGAGAACAGGAAAGAGAAGGATTGCAATAAAAGCCTAAAAGAGAGGCCTAAAAGGGAACAAAGGATTTGTACCTTGCAGGCAGGACTTTGCCAGTTTACTTTTATTCTACCTTTCCATCTAAAGATGTCTGTCTAGCATTTATAACATATTCACCAGCAGTTGTACAGAGCAGTTTTTCCATTGGCTCTTAAGGGGTTAATAATTTTCATAAGAAGAAAATGTATATTAATGTTTTGGCCAGTCAATAAGAGAGAGAGCTGCTAGTGGCATCCCTTTATAATATATAACATAGCTCTGAACCAATCAGAGACTAAGATGTACCAGAACAATTTCTGGGACAGTTCTGAGTCTTCTCTGGTCCCAGTGTGAGCCAAGTAATGAGGCCCCTTCCACCCCTGGATTTCAAAGGTCTGGTTGAGGGGAGGGGGTTTGTAACTTGATGCAGGTTTCACAACTACTTTGCATTCTTTGATAGGCAGTGTTGGATCCAGAGGGCAGCGTGGCAACCCTGGCCTCCCAGGACCAAAAGGTAGCCCTGGCTTAACAGGGATTGGACCTCCTGGGCAACATGGTCTGAAAGGTAATGTAATTGTTTCATAAAATCATAGAATCATAGAGTTGGAAGGGACCTCCAAGATCATCTAGCCCAACCCCCTGCACGATGCAGGAAATTCACAAATACCTCCCCCCACACCCCCAGTGACCGCTGTTCCATGCCCAGAAGATGACAAAAAAAACCCAACCTTCAGGATCTCCAGCCATCATTTAAAGAAATACAGGAGTAATAAAACAAGGGAAAGGTGTAACAATCATATGGATAAATCCCAATTATATCTGCATTATTGTATATGAATTGCTGTTTTTCATTAGAACAGGGCAGCTGCAAATATAAAACAATATCATTTGTTTTTCAGAAAGCAAGTAATCTGGATTTAAACATAGTTGGTACATTGCATACAAACTAAGGGCATTCTATACCTCTGTGCAGTCCTGATTTAACTACAGAAACTTCTTTTTATCTTTATAGGAAACAAAGGACCTCAGGGACCTAAAGGACAACCAGGTTGCCCAGGAAAATTAGGAGAGCCAGGCTTACCTGGAAAACCTGGAATCCCAGGAGAAAAGGTTTGTCAGAAAAAACAATTGCTTGGTTAGCATCAGCTTGAGCCAAGTCCAGTTAGACCTGGGTGAGAAGCTGTGGCCAAGGCAGGGAGTGAGGTTGTTTGGCAAACATGATGCCATGTTTGATGAGCACTCAGTATGCACGGGCAGGAAGAAGGTTGACTCCAAGAGCAAATAGTAGGGTTAGGGACAGGAGGCATAATCATGGACAGGCAACAATGCACATGAAAAAGTTGCTGTAAGTGAGGAGCCAAGTCAGAGCTTATATAGCTTCAGCCCTGTCCTTATTAGTTCTCTCATTGGTCATCTGCCTCTGCTGGGGTGGCTTAGGTTGCAGTTCCTAGGATGACCACTTATTTCTTTATTTCATTTGTACACCGCCTTTCTCCCCATACAGGGAGCCAAAGTGGCTTGTGTTGTTCTCTTCTGCAGGGCCGGCCCCAGCTTATTTTGCACCTTAGGCGGGGATCCCTTCTAGCGCCCCCCCCCCACTGGCGCGCCCACCAATTTTCAAAAATAAATGCATTTTAGGAAGAATGAAAAACACAAATAATCAAGAAACTCCCAGAGTACGGGGCCGGGTGCAGTTTGGTGCCGCTAAGGGCCGGCCCGCTCTAGGCGATTGCCTAGTCCGCCTAGTGGGTGAGCCGGCCCTGCTCTTCTCCTCCATTTTATCTTCACAACAACCCTGTGAGACAGGTTAGGTTGAGAAAGTTTGACTGGCCCAAGGTCAGTCAAAGAGCTTCCATGGCACAAGTGAGAATATGAACCTGAGTCTCCCAGATACTAGTCCAACATTCTTAATCACTACACCACACTGGCAGAATGGTGTTGTTACTACCTTTAAACTTGGGCTTCCCTCTGCATGCAGTAAAATGGTGAAAAAGGTGCTGGGTTCTGACACATGATGCTGCCTTATACTGAATCAGACCCTTGGTCCATCAAGATCAGTATTGTCTACTCAGGTTGGCAGCAGATCTCTAGGGTCTTAAGCATAGGTCCTTCACATCACCTACTATCTACCTCATCCTTTTAACTAGAGATGCCAGTGGTTGAACCTGGAACCTTCTACATGCCAAACAGGTGCTCTCCTGCTGAGCCCTCCCAAGTGGCCTGGCTTCCAGAGTCCTGGATTTGAGATCTTTGATGTCTTGCATTCACCCTGTTCAAGGTCTGTCCATTAGCAAGGACTTTATTATTTTAAAAACAGACAGAGCTGTACCTGTTTGGATTGCATTTGCATCAACACAGTTCATTTCATTTTTTTCTCCTGCCTCTGTCCTGACTCATTTCCCATACTATGGATATGCTGCCAGATATTAATTAAGTGAACAAAATCTGCACCATATATACATTCTTTTAGTATCTTTAATATAATTAATCCTATCAATTAAAAATGACATTTGGTAATCTCTGAAAAATGTGGAAAATTATTCTTGTATCCCACTGTTTACTTTTCGTAATAGCTCAAGGGAGGGAAGCAAAGCCAAAGAGGCAATGAAGGGAGAGAGTATCTTAGCAAATAATTTAAGCAATGGGGGGGGGGGGTCTTCTAACCAGAAGAGTTAGTAAATGTTCCTGCCAGGATTCTGGCAAGGAGGACAGGTGTTTCTGTTCAGTGTTTCCACTTCCTGCAAACTATTACACTGTCCCAGTTGGTTTGGGGAAGGCTTTCTTGGTTATAAAAGCCATGGAGCTCTCTTTGATTGCTATTCTGTTCTCTGTTCTGGAGCTGTAACTGTTTACCTGTTCAGCATGCAGTGGGATTAGAGGCTGAAGCTAGCCATGCTGCATATTCTCCCTGTTCTCACATCGCTATGGGTAGCACACTTGCAAGAGAAAGACGAAATTTTGCTTGTACTCCCTGGAAGACATACTGCTGCAGATGGGATAAAAATGCTTCAGGCACCAGAACACAATGATGTAAGGTGTGGGAGGAATTAAATTTTGGCTTCCTTCATCTGCTTGTTTATCTTAACACTCATTCACATGCCAACACTCATTCACACTCCACTTTTGCCAATTTAAACATGACAGTGGCAGTATAAAGGATGGTATTTATATAAGTTTGCATATAGTTATTGTCTTGTTAAAAGTAGTCTGTTATACATGCAAAGTCACATGTGCAATATTAGCAAATCAGCATATCACCTGGGCTATGGATTTCTGGTATGCTAACATTAAATTCTCCTGCCAACCTAGCAGTTCAAAAGCAAGAAATTGCAAGTAGATAAATAGGTACTACTTCGGTGGGGAGGTAACAGCGTTCCGTGCACCTTGGCGTTTTGTCATGCTGGCCACATGACCACGGAAATATCTTCAGACAGCGCTGGCTCTTCGCCTTGGAAATGGAGATGAGCACCGCCCCCTAGAGTCAGATTTGATTGGCTTCCGAGCAATGGAAACCTTTACTTTGACCTAACATTAGTTTTTTTTCCCCCAGCGATTGAATATAAGAAAGGTAAACTGATGTAAGGAAAAGATAAGGTAAAATTGTCTGTTTCTTCCACATAATTTACGATATAACACTGATTTTCTTCCTTTTTATTTTAGGGAGAACCAGGTCCGGTTATTCCTGGGCAACAAGGTAGACTAGGCTCACCAGGAGAAGAGGGTTTGTCAGGTGAAAAGGGTGAAAGAGGACTCCCAGGACATCCCGGTCAACCAGGTCCGCCAGGTCACGATGGTGCTGACGGGCCGAGAGGTAGGACTATCCAGCCTGCATTCCATGTTATAAGAGCATTCCTGTTTTTATGGTTCATGACCTTTTGAAGAAAATTGTTTGCCTCTGGGCATGCCTACTGACAAAGTTTCTCCTGCAACTGGGTACATTGTCCAGAAATGGATTATTTCTTCCATTTGCTTTGGAGTCAAGAATAAGCAAATAATTTCAGGCTAAGTGCTTTCTAATGAAAAGTCCTGCTCCATTTATAGTCCTGTCTTCTTTGACACAGCAGGTCTTTTGTGCAACTTGCAGTCTGTGGGTTGTTGTTTTTTAGCATGCTATCAGTCTTTTCTCGCTGCCATAGAAGTAGTTAGTGACAGTTGGAAAAGAGTCAGAATTACAATTCCAGATTATTTAGCTGACAGTCTTGCCAACAGTAAGTGGGAAGTCCTCTCCTTTTAAAGGAAGGGGACTCCTGTTGCATGATTGCCAGAAACCTCATAGGAAGCCGGGATCCGTAACAAACCTGGGTCCTGTTTGCAGCACCGTGGAGGGGAGCAAGGGTGACCATTCCAGTCCCTGCTGGGCAGAGGGGCCAGACTGGTGGTGAGTGCAGGAAGCTGGGGCCCACCTGACCCAACACCAGCCCTATCGGTGGGTTTTAGCTGCCCAGGGTGCTGGGGCACCCTGTCCACTATTTAGGGCACCAGACTGCCCCTGCCTATCATCTTTCTGGCATTGGGAGACTTGGTCCACCCTCCTGGTCTTTTATTTAGAGGAAGTCTAATGGGTTGCATGCAGTTTTGTTTTTCAATTATTTTCTTCTTTGTCACAACTTGGTAGTATCAGTGTGGGGCTGGATTCTTCATTTTTTTAATCAATTTCATTGGGCTTCTATACTTCCCTCTCTGCAAGCGAACTCAGGGCAGTGTACAACAAAAGTCATGCTGTGCCAAACCATACCATACTACAGCTGTAACCAATAAAAGTTGTGGCCAATTTTATTCCACTTTTTCTGAAAACTGTGTGTATGTTATTTCAACTAAAGGTTTTGTATCTAATGGGGTATAGAGGAACTCTTTGCTGGTGACGCCTCCTCGCTCCATCCCCTTGGTGCTTGGGTCTCAAACAGATCTGGCTGCAAAGAGAGGCTTAGCTACTGGGCTAGTTCTTGGAAAGGTAGTGCGAGTGTTTCAGTCCATGAGCTTTCTCCTCCTCCTCTTTCTCCTCCTCCTTATGGGCCAGCTCTTCTGAAGAATCTTGCAATCCTCACAGAATAGCTATTTTGGAACTCTGATCAAGTTACTGAAGCATGAAATGATAGGCAGATCCAAGCATTTGTAAGCCTCGATGTCAGAGAATAGTAACTGTTGACTGAAGGCCAAACCAGACAAAACTCTGGGAGTTCCATGAATATAGTTCATGGTAGGTGGTGGTGGTTGTTTTTTTACATCACTTATCAGGCATGCAAAGCCCCTATTTGGACATAGACTGCAGTCACAAGGGGAGGAGGTTTAAGCATTCCCTTGACACTGTATTCTTGACCTGATATAGTCCAAGAGAGCCACTATTCACCCAACTGTTATAAACATGTAACTTTCCCTATCCCTTCTGCTGTGATCCTGATCTGAATTGTGGCTCCACAAGCCTATTAACTGACTTTTTAAAATGCTAAGAGTTTTATTCATGGAACTCCCAGTATCTTGTCAAGCTTGTTCCTGAGCTAAGGAGTTATAGTGTCATTGCAAAGGATTCAGAATGGGATATATATATATATATATATATTCATGGAACTCCCAGTATCTTGTCAAGCTTGTTCCTGAGCTAAGGAGTTATAGTGTCATTGCAAAGGATTCAGAATGGGATATATATATATATATA